AACTATGTGTTTTCTTTCCACTAATTGATTCATCTCATTATTCTGTTCATAAAAGTATTAAGGTACGATTATCAAAAAATTAATAGTTTACGAATTATTTAATATTTTATGTCAATATGTGCCACAATGAAATATAAAATATCTCGTAAACTATTGGTTTTTTGATATCGCTACCTTAATACTTTTATATGCAGAATAATTAGAGGAATCATATTATGTAAAAAAATTCATATAATTCCATTTAAAAAAATGATCATGACCTTCAAATAACCTTGAAAATCGAGTTCAAGGTCAAGGTCCTTGGCACCATTAGGTGACCCCCATCTAAACAAACAAATTTTCCCTTTACAACTTTTCAATCAGATGCGTACTTTCCGAGATATTCGCATCGATAGATTAAAACGGATCACCCTGTATATATTTGGATTCTTGAACGGTGGTTTCACATCACAGGATGAATCTCGGACATAATATGGATTGGAATAATGTTCAGATCATGGATTCTGAATAATCTTTCTACAAAAGATCGGTTTCGGAATCTATGTGTTTTCTTTCCACTAATTGATTCATCTCATTATTCTGTTCATAAAAGTATTAAGGTATGATTATCAAAAAATTAATAGATTATGAGTTATTTAATATTTTATGTCAATATGTGCCACAATGAAATATAAAATGTCTCGTAAACTATTGGTTTTTTGATATCGCTACCTTAATACTTTTATATGCAGAATCATATTATGTAAAAAAATTCATATAATTCCATTAAAAAAATGACCTTGACCTTCAAATAACCTTAAAAATCGACCTGAAGGTCAAAATCATTAACACAGATAAATGACCCCCATTGTCCTGAACAAGTTTTGTCTGAACTATTTTTCTGTATATGCCTTATCGACGGAGAAATTTGGGTGGGTCCCGTAAAATGGTCCACCGTGTATATATATTTATATACTATATATATATATGTGACATCTCGGAATAATATCAGCAGTTCAGTCGAATTTGAAGTGTCGAGCTCGCCATCTGTTTGAATAATAATTTTTCGTACATCCTTTTGAAAGAGATCTTGGACACAGGTTTATATACATATTATAGAACAACTTTATATATAATACATATAATTTAATGATAGACAATAAATGGTTAAAAGAATATTTTCCTTCTTTTTTAAATAGAACTTGGGAATTTTGCGTCACATGGGATCAATTATAAAAGAATTTTCATATAGAAGATCATTGCGAGAGACAATGTTGGTTCTGTGGGTGCTGCAATTAATTTATGTAATTTTAATTCTGACGACGAATTAACCGATATTTGTAAGAACAAGCGATTTAAAAATTTGTAAACAACTTCCCAGTTTATATTTTTGTTTATACTGAAGAAGGTCTGATCGAGGTCGAAACATTTATATTTTATCTCATAGTTTGTTAAATATAATTAT